CTTGCCATATGCAAAGTTGGGCAATCAGGTCCAGAGTTTTCTTTCCCAAAGTGCTTCTGAGAAGTTCCCAGTCAGTACCAGGATTGCAGTTGGTTAAAAGGCTCCAGATACGGCAGTCAAAGGCAATGAGAATGAGCACAGGACGGTGTTGCCGCAAAACATCCCAAAGCATTTGGATCCCCGACTTCGACAGCAAGTCATAGCCATCCAAAAGATCCAGCGGCTGTGAGCATGTCCAACCAAACTCGGCTGAAGCTACCCTCGTTGTGGCGAAACTGCCAGCAAAGGGCTCAAACAACACTGTCCACTTGAAGTCATTGGTGGCCAACTGCTCAGCCATGGTGTACTCCCGCTTCAAGGCGGCCCATGTCCTTCGATCCTCCACCCTTATCCGCTTCCGAGCCTCATTCAGCTCCTTGCATCTGCGCTCGGAAACTTGGTGTTTCTTGTCCTCCGCTTTCACACCACGCTCGTCCATGTTTGGCTGCTTGCTCAACACCTTGTTGCTGAACTCTGGTTCATCCAAACTTCCAAGAAATTGATGTTGAAGCAATCCAAAACGAGCCTCCTCTACAAAGTAAACCAAAAGATCTTCTTGCTCTGATGTTGCCCGTGGTCCATGTTGACCTATCTGTCCAACATCGCGCTCTCCAATCTTAGGGTTGAAGGCGACATTCAAAGCAAGATGTCTGGTTCTCGTCCTCTGCAGCGGCATGGTGATGCCCAGCTTCTTGACGGCGACCTCTTGCTCTTTCAAACAAATCACCATGTCAAGGGCCGTCATGGCTGCAATGGACAAAAGGAGTGGTGTGTTCCCTTCTGGGACTTCAGCTGAGAAAACCTCACCTTTGAAACCATCCAAATAGATTGGGATCCGCCACACCGGCAAGCGATCTTGCGTGCTCTGGCCGTTGGCGAAGTGGAAAATCTTCTTGGCTGGCGTCAAAGAGCAGCTGACACCATCAGGAAGCGTCTTCTGAAAGGCTTCCCTCCAAGCTTTGGAGTGCATGCATGAGGTGCATGCTGTGTCAATGAGGCAAACTTGAGACTCATCGATCACATTGTCGGAAGGGCCAAAATGGTGACCTCCCTCGGTGGTATCGTTGCCACCGAAAACAAAACCAAAACTGTTGAATTCATCGTGGCTCTCAGTTCTATTGGGCTCCCAAAGGCTTGAATTCTGCCATGCATCCCCAACCATCATAGCTTGACCTTGGTTTTGGGGTGAAACTGTCGCTGCTTCCAGATCACTTCTCGGACTTGGCAGGCTTTGAGGCCCGCAGCATCTCGAGTCCATCCTTGTAGTTGGTGAAGTGCTTGCAGTTCGGATCGGAGCATTCAAAGTAAAGGCTTGAGTCCGACCAGTGACGACGAAGCACCATAGGGCGGCCACAGAAAGCGCAAACAATTGCGGCATGTGGCTTTCCAACCTCGAGCTCGTCGGGAACTGCAATGCCAGTCTTTGGATCCTTCTTGGGTGTCTCCTCCAAGTGCTCTGCAGTGGGCCGAAAGAAACGGCAGTCCTCATTTCCCATCATCATCTCAGTGACTGCTTTGCCTCGATCTTTGGCTCCAGCTGCATATCCACGACCAGAAGTTGGTGTAGAGGATGCGGTCGATGTTGATGCCTTTGCCTTTGCCTTTGCCAAAGCTGTTGGTGGCGCTTTGTAGTTGGGACGAGGCGCCAAAGGCATATCCCGGGAACTTGGTAGCTCCCTCTCCCGCAGTTGCACGTAGAGCTTGGAGTAACCCTTCTGCACGACGGCTTGGCCAGCAAAGAAGCGGACCAAACGATCTCTCACTTCCTCCTTGGTTCCAGAGACCTTGACCTCCCACTTGTCGCACAAAGCTTGAAGCTCTCTAAGCGTCAGCTTGTCCTCCTTCAGGTACTTGGGGCAGGCATCTTCCAAGTCATTGACATAGTAGACCCGCAAGTCCTGAACTGGAATGGGAACCATTGGCGATTCCTCAGGGTTCACCCATGGAGTTGAGCCAGAAGTGCCTGACTCAGTGGTGCGACCAGTCTGATTGGTCTTGCGCCGAAGGTCTGTCTCTGTGAATCCAGAGTCCTGCTGCATGTCATTGATGTTGCTATCCCCATCGTCGAAGACCATGTCGCAGTAGGCCTCTTCCTCCTCCAGGTCATCGCCCAAGCTGAAAAAGGTTGGCGACTCACCCACCATGTAGGCCTTGCCAGCACGGCCTTTCCCAGATCCTTTGTTCTTGCCACCCTTGAAAACCTTCTTGGGTCCACTCCGTGTTGCGGCTGGACATTCTGCATCACCAGCCCAATGACCCAACCGATGACAGGCAGCGCATCGGCTTCTGGCTTTCTCGGCCTGCTTGGCCTGATCTCGAGCAGCATTGTTCTGGTACTTGCCATCGTTCTTGAAGTAGCCTCTGGACTTCTGAATGTCCTTGAGCTTCTTGCGGCTGTCCTTGTAGGTGGAGTAGGCCTGGAAGATCTCGTCATCCTCGGATGCACCATAGTCGGAAACCTCTGCATTCTCAGTCTCCAGCGCGCCATCAGCATTGCTCTCCACGGCATAGGCCTCCTCTGTCGCAATCTCTTCAAAGGCGTCCTCATCCACTTCCTCGGAAATGGCAGCCCATGACGAAGTGTCATCCGAAGTTGCGGCAGCATAGGAGCGCATGCCACGGCCAGCGCCTTTGCGACCCCAGCTCTTCGACAACCCAGATTGATCTCGTTGACGTTCTTTCTCATGAAGGTCGTAGAAGCTTGTCCGCAGGGCTTTCTCGATCCCCTCCATGGTGTAGTTGCTCTGGTTGGCCAGGAGAACCGTCCGTCGATCTTCCCGGGTGATGCCCACGTGCTTCAGCAGGAAGTAGGCTCGAAGATCCTCAGACATCTGCACGTTCTCTGCCACGTCCTGCAACTCGGACCATTGTTGCTTCCTTTGCCGAATGTAGGTGTCCACCGGCTGTCCCCTCTTCCGCTGAGAAGAGTCAAAGAACTTGTCGAAGGCTTCGGTGCGCTTGACGATGTTGACCTTCTCGATCGTCTGGAGCGCTGCAAAGATGTGTTTGTACCCCTCTGGCTCTCTCAGCTTCTCGTGGTCGGCCATCAAGTCCTCGCAGGCTTTGTAGGCCTCACCATGCAAGGCGTCCAGCAATCTCTTGCCAAACCTTTGTTTCTTCTTTGCCAGGTCTCGGGCTTCTTCTGCTTCATCTTTGCCATCGCCCTCCAGGTTATTGAAGGCAAACAACACCCTCTGGCGGTATTCCCGCATCAGTCCTGGGATTGATCCCGTGTAGTGAGGGATCCCATCTCGATCCACAACCACCTCATCATCTCTGAAGAACGGCTGCGATCCAGCAGTCGACATGGCGGCGGCGAAGCGCAAGCTCCGCTACCAGTGCGAAGCGTGCACTGGCAGCGCGCAAGCTGTTTTCATGCCACGAGCAAAGAAAGGTATATGTTATGCTGTACACATGCAAACGATCTGTTGGCCTTGTCCATGTGGTTCACGGTCGTTCCATACATGCTTTGTCTGTCTTTGTTTCCTTGGTTTCTATTCTGTCATGTGTTCCCGCAGCAAGCGGACCATGAGGTTACTGTCATGGCCGGTCAGGGGCACTGACGGACCGGGACTTTCCCTCGGGGCCGGCTATGGTTTGAACCAGCGGTTCAGGCAGCATGTAGTGTCTGTGGTGGCTCACAGCAACAACCTGGCATCAGTGGCTGAATGCAGGCATCTCTTCACAGAACCAATTGAATGAACCAATTGAATGAACGAATTGAATGAACGAATTGAACGAACGAACGAACGAACGAACGAATGAATGAACGAACGAACGAACAAACGAACGAACAAACGAATTGAATGAATGAATGCATGCATGAATGAATGAATGAATGAATGCATGAATGCATGAATGCATGAATGCATGAATGCATGAATGCATGAATGCATGACAACATGAATGCATGAATGCATGAATGCATGAATGCATGAATGCATGACATCATGAATGCATGAATGCATGAATGCATGAATGCATGAATGCATGAATGAATGAATGAATGAATGAATGAATGAGTGAATGAATGAGTGAGTGAATGAATGAATGAATGAAGGAATGAATCAATGCATGAATTTATGATTGAGGGAATGAATCAATGCATGCATGCATGAATGAAGGAATGAACGAACGAATGGAAGGAAGGAAGGAAGGAAGGAAGGAAGGAAGGACTGAATGCAAGAATGAAAGCATGCAAGAATGAACGAACGCAAGAAAGAATGACAGAATGCATCATTGGAAGAAAGAATGAATGATCTTCCAAAAGTGCTCCGAGACCCTCAGTCTTTTAACATTTCCACATCGAAATCCAGCTCTCGCTACAGTCTCGGGCACATTTTGCGGACCTCATCTTCCAAAAGTGCTCCCCGACCCCCAGTTGCTTTAACATTTCCAAATGGAAATGTAGCTCTCGCTAGAATCTCGTGCACATTTTGCCGAACTCATCTTCCAAAAGTGCTCCGAAACCCTCAATGTCTTCACATTTTCAACTGGAAATTGAGCTCTCGCTACAGTCCTGTGCTTCTCTTGTCGACCACTTCCCCAATCGAGCCGCGCACCCGCCCGCGGAAACAGAGACCCTCCTTCGCGCCCGAGAGTGTTTTCAACCTGAATTTACCCGTTCCCAATCTCTCACACTTCCCAACTACTTGCAGGATGATGTGGTTGCCATGATGATTGAGGTCACCATCATGGTGAGAAAGCTGGCCATGACAACTGTTCGTAATTCGGAAGTTTCCTAACTAAACTTCCTTGGATAATGTTGTTTTACTGCTCATGTATAATTTGCATGCATGATCATCTGCGCATGTGACAATAGAGATTCTTGTTTCTGCAAAACTACAAATCGCAGCCAAACGCCAAGTGGTGCCAAATAAACAAGGAATAAATTAGCAACGTTAAACCAGATTTTATATATTCCATTAACTGCCCCAGTCTCTCTGCCCTTCCTGCAATGCCTCGAACAGCTCTTTAAGCTTCTGGCTCCTGGTTAGCGGGAAATCCAGGTTGGAGTACCAGAGGCAAAATTCAAGAAATCCCATTCCTATCCTACATGGAATACTCTCCGTGGATCCATTCAAAAATCTATTGAGCCAATACAAAAGCAATGCTTCCAGGTGGGTAATACATTGAGGAAAATCCCTGTGACAATCATACCGTCTGCATTCCCCCGCAGTCCCGGGCTGTTTGGAAGGGGCTGCAATGAGATTCTTCAGCGCTGTAGCAGCGGCGCCGTTCACATCTTCCTCCTCCCCCAAGGCATCCTTGGAGCGATCTGCATCTCAGCCGGTCTCAGCCCAAGATTTCACGAAGCAATCCGCTTCTGTTGATGGTTAAATCAGTCAAATCATGGTAAATCCAAGTGTATGCATGTACAATTCTATCAAACCCTCCCCATTTTCCAATTTACATCCATTTTGTCCCTACTAAAAAGGCACTGCTACATACTGCTACCAAAGGTCCAAAAATTTTGCCTGCATCTTGGCTACCAACTGCTGTCGTTCCTCATCCATCTGCTGCACTGCAGCGCTGCGGTGCGCCAACAGGTCAAAGGCATCCAGGTGCTCCTCGTGCTCCGTCCTGTGCCAGTTTTGATGGCTGGGACTGGTAGGACTTTCCAACAAAAAAATCGCAACCTCCCTGGAAGATAGGAGGGTAGTTCAATCATTTCCCATTGTTTTAGCCGGATTGTTACTTTCTTCAATCTCTCCAGGAGCGTGCTAAACATGGCAACTTAAATGTTGAAAATGATGTTCTAAACCAGTGGGACTATGTTGCACTGTATTCTTGGACAAACGATTCATCAGCGTCAAGTCATTGGGGCACCATTCTGAACCCACGAATGGCTGGTCATTTTCTCATTTTGTCATGTCCAGTGTCTGAAATCATCCGCTTTGGTGGTGTGATGATTCTGACCCGCACAAGTGCCTCTTTCGGCCCAGGCCTACATTTTTTTTACGGTCATGGCTCATGGGTGATCATCCATAATACATTAAATTGATTATATAAGCAGTACAGGATAACTATAAGAATTGAATACAATTAGTTGGCTTACTTAGGTCCTCAATACCAACCAGCAGCTAAGTTTAAGGCAAAGTACCCCGGCATTCGAATGGATCCAGTTGACTCGCAAACGGCCCCCATCCCCAGTGTTCCTGTCATCTTCGTCAAAGATGACGAACTCGGTAGAGGCACTGGAAGGGGAGGCGCCCTTCAAGCTCAGAAGCGCCTGCGACAACGAAAAGGGCTGTTTTGCGGTCAACAATTCGATAACCGGAACTGAACCTTGGCTGCAGCCGCATTCAGGTCACATTCGGAGTTCAACTGGTCCAAAAAGGACTTCTGTAGCTGAGAGATCATCGCTCCTGAACAGCTGCGAGAATTTAAGCCCCGCGGTTCTCAATGACAAGCCGGAACTAACTGAAAATCCGCCCACACCGCTTTGGCGGTGAAGGCGTGCTTATTGGGGGGCAAAACAGCAACACTAAATGCTCAATGACATTTGTTAATATAGCAGTCGCTATATCAGCTTTAGCTGGGGGGGGCCAAAAACGGTTTCGCACCGAGACCAGAATACGGTGGTGTTTTCGACATTTTTCGAGGATTTTTGGGTGTCTGAGCGCAAGAGGGTGTTGAAATGGAATTTTGGGTCATTTTGGTAGCTTTCCGGCAATGGAAAAACGGCCAAAAATGAAAAAAACATTGTACATAGCAAGATTTTGCAGGATTTTTGGATGCCAGAGCATTGAAAACACTGCAAAAACAAGGTCACGCCGCCGTTAGCGGCGCTGCACGTTTTGGCAGCTGGCTTGCAGCAATCTCTGTCTCAGTGAAACAGAGTTGGCATGGCTGCCCACACATCTCCTTTACAGTTGCGGCGCCACATCCAGCTGTAAATCCAATCCCACCCCAACCCATGCCCCACGTAGCAGCAACGTAGCATCCACGTGGTGTGCAAGTGCAAATGAACGTTAACATCCCACCCCACCCCAACCCATGCCCCACGTAGCAGCAACGTAGCATCCATGTGTGCAAGTGCAAATGAACGTTAACATCCCACCCCACCCCAACCCATCCCACCCCTGGCCGTATATGCTGAAAAGTAGTAAACTCCTCTGATATGCTAAAAAGTTGTAAATTCCTCAGCGCCGCTAACGGCGGCGTGAGCAAAATCAAGTGTTTTGGACTGACGTTATAGCAAAAAACGTGTAAATTACCGTATGCTTGACTGGAAGCATTACCAAAACACTGTCAAAAGCAATGTTTTGGAAGGATTTACTGCCTTTATGGCAAAAAACGTGTAAATTACCGTCTGTTTGACTGGAAACATTGGAAAAACACTGTCAAAAACAATGTTTTGGAAGGATTTCTTATATATATGTTGGAGTTGGCTACCGGCATTGGAACATGTAAAAATTGAAGAAAACACTGTAAATAGCGGTATTTTCAACGGTTGGGGAGATAAGGGAATTGGAAACACATTCAAAGAACACGGGATTTGGGGGACTATCTAGGCGTCGTTGTCTAGCTATTTGAAATTCCGCAGCTTGGAGAGCCTCCAAGGGAGGGAAAAGTGAAAATTCCATAGGGAATTTTCACTTTTCCCCCCCCGTGGGGGCTCCCCAAGCTAGGGAATTTTCACTTTTCCCCCCCGTGGGGGCTCCCCAAGCTAGGGAATTTTCACTTTTCCCCCCCGGGGGGGCTCCCCAAGCTAGGGAATTTTCACTTTTCCCCCCCGTGGGGGCTCCCCAAGCTAGGGAATTTTCACTTTTCCCCCCCGTGGGGGCTTCCCAAGCTAGGGAATTTTCACTTTTCCCCGCCGTGACAGCTTCCCAAGCTAGCTTGGGGAGCCCCCACGGGGGGGGAAAGTGAAAATTCTTAGCTTGGGGAGCCCCCACGGGGGAAAACCACCCTTAGCCCCTTGTCACGGACCGAAATAAACCTGCGGTGTGGGCGGCCACCCCACGCGAAGCGGGGTGAATATCGATTAGTCCAGTCATGATTCCAGAAGTGAAGCGGCAACTCTATCGACAGAAAGTAGCAGAAACTTCTCATTTTCTTGCCAAGCATCGTTTCTCAGGAGCGAACGTACCGGCACTGTTCACCTCTTGCTGATGGTGCCACATGTCAAACTCGTCCAGTGGAGGCTCCTCAGTAGGGATCAGAGTTGAGCAAATCTCGGGATGGCGTCCTGAAATTGGAGTGGTAAACGCATATGAACGCTGAAGCCAAGTCGTTTTCAGCCACTTTTTTGCTTGAAAAAACGGCAAAATATGCAAAATGATCACGGCGCCAAAGAGTCCATGACCTCATCCAGCTCATCGTCCAGGGAATGGCACACGCCTTCTTGGCAAGCCATCGCTAGTGCCAGTTTTGTTGACCAAACAACCTTTGAGCCAGCTGAGATCAAAATGATCGAGGGCTTCTGCATATCCCCTGCTGATATCAGCTGCTAAGTTCTTGAAATCAGTGCCAAAACAGTTCCAAGGGACAGGATCGCATTGAAGAGATTCTGAGACGACTGTCTGTGGCTCATGACTTTACATGTTACATATATCATAAATCATATATCATAAATCATATATCATATATCATATATCTATATAGACATAGTTTCTTCCACATCAGAATCTGGACTTCAGGCATTCGGACCTGGAACTCCAAGGCGTTATCTTGTTGCAGCTTCCTGCTTGCCCCTGCTCGAGGGATGCAGGTTTCCCGTTCATCTATGCTGCGTAAACACTTGGAGACCCATTTTCTTCTCCTGCCGTCTCGAGATCGCGACATCGCAGCATCAAGATCATCCAGGTGCTCGATGCAAGGCAGGACAACAACACCACGGCCACTACAACAACACTAAAGAAGTTAAAACTCAATCTCTCACATTGCTCTCGCATTGCTCATGCCAACGAGTTCAAACCAAGCTTCAGGTGCACGGCCTTCGGATAACAGCATCACCCAAGCTTCCCCCTGAGTTCGGCGGATGGGCAATCTTACTTTCCCATCCTCCAGAATCTTCCAGGGGCCATTTTGGAAAAAAATATCACCCTGCTTCACATTGGGCAGCAGCACGGATGACTCCAGATTCGAAGCAGCACGGGGCCGGGCGGGCTTAAGGGCTCGCCATCTGCCATCTGTTGGAGGTGCCAGAAACTCGAAGAACAAAGGGCCACCTTTGAGGCGGGCGTCCACTGTGACCCACCCAACTGTTGCACCCATCTTGATGGGCATCCGCAAGCACTCATCCACCCACTGGCACTCGAAGGCCTGTGTCACCACTGCACCAGGGACGATCTCGTCACACGATTCAGACGCTAAGTCAGGTCCGTTCCGGATGATGACTCGTGCTGAACAGACTCGCCACAAACTGTTTGCAGAGCCCAAAGCAGCAAACTGCCTGAAGAAAAGCCTTCCCGTCGCACAGTCAGCCCCTCGGGCATCAAGGGTGACCCAAATGTCCCTGTGAAAGTCTTCGCAGATTGTGCGGATTGGCATTCGCACCAGGCCATTGCTCAAACGAACGTAGTTGGCAGCCTGAACTACCACATCACCCTGGTTGAGCAAGCACACTTCTTCTGTGTCGGTTCCTTGCCCGCTTTTTCCTCTGATGCCACTCCACAGTGCCTCCCATCTAAACCCTGGACCTCCCAAGGGCAGCCAAGGCGGTTCAGACCAGGAAGGAGGTTCAACGGCATCGACGGATGCCACATCGGGCGGCTCACTCTCCTCAGCATCGTCCTCAGCATCCTCGGGACCTGGCAGGGCCACCGTCATGCGCAACTTGTGGGCATCCCGTTGCGCCATGGCCAAGGCCTGGTTCCCCACCAAGCCCTCCACTTCCAAGATCCGATGGCCAACCTCCACCCTTGGACGATCCACGGCCACCCAGGGCAGCTGGGTCAGGGGCACATCATCATTCCACTGTGCCAACAATGAGCCATCTTCAAGGTTGCACACCTCCAGGTGACCACCTTTTTTCCTCAAGGAGAACCCCGGCTCAGCACCAGAAAGCTGGAGGGACACGAGGAAGCCCTCATCTTGGGTTGAAAGGGCCAACAACTGCCAAGGTTTCTGCTTGTTCTCCTTGTGCTGACTGCCTCAGCTGCGGGCAATTTCTTCCACTCACGCTTACTAGAAGGCAATCTAATGAGGAAACCTCCAAACTGTCCAAACTCCCTTCATGCTGATGATGGATTGCAACTAAGGCAGCGGCTTTCAAGGTGGTCCCAATCGCTGAACTTATTGCACAAACGGCAAAACGGCTGCCAGAAACTGTCATGCAATCGCTCCACCAGGTAGCCAATCTCCTTTTGTTCCTGGCCGAAAAACTCCAACATCCACCAATAAACATCAACACCAAAACCATCCAAAACTCGCCCAAAATCCCCAAAGCAGCTCCGGACCCAAAAAACGTCCTAGGCCTTACTCTACAATATATGTTCCTACGTATTCCTACGTCATTGTTTCTCCCGCCGCATCCAGTGTTTCTCCCTCTCCTCCCATTCCTCCCGCAGCTTCTGGAAGTAACAGCCCTCCTGCTGCAGCGGCCGCTCCTTCACCTGCTGCACCCCCGCAGCACCAGCGGCCGCAGAACCAGACGGCTCTGCCGGGAGGACCCAGGCACGGAGCTTAGCGAAGGCCAGCAGCCCGCGCCACACATTGCCTGGCACAGGTAAAATGGCTGGGTGAACTCATGTGAAGTCCATTTGTATGGATGTGCTCTGCATAGTTTTAACAAATTCCTCAATTGTATGAAGAAATGTGTAGAAAAAAACATGAAAAAATACTACCCAGAGCCACTACGTTGATTGCAGGTGATGTAACTTCTTGGAGCAGGGCACGGGCCTCGCCTTTGGACTGTCCCCCATAAAGGGTGTCCATGTTGCCGACGATCCAGGCTCGATGCTTGGCTCGGGTAACCGCCACATTCCTTGGGTGATGCACTGAGCAGTGCCGCTTTCATCCCCAAAGCTGGTGTTTGTCATCTTTCGTGCTAAATACCCCTTATCCTCCGACATTTGTGCCCAAAACAGCTTCCAGTTGTATACAGAATATACAGCAAATACTGCCAACAGCCTGTATCAGCCGGCCCTACTCCTCATCATGCTGCTGTGGCACAGCCTTCTCTCATCAGCATTGAAGCCAATGCTGCCACCCGACCTGGTCCATGCTCAAGTTCCGAAGATTTGGCTCCGATTGTTAAGGGCACGCATGCTACCCGCTACTAACATGTCTGCATCTGTAGGGTTGTTGGCTTCAAGCTCAATTGCAGGTTGCCCCACCTTACAGTGGAAATGATGATGATGTCTCGCCTCAGACATAGCCAAAAAAAGCTGGAAACAAACACAACGCTCACAGCATGGGCCACAGTGTCGGAGGAGGGCAACAGGCCTGACACTTCACCGAAGCTTTCCACCAGAAAGTGGGGGTGTCTCACAATTCGGGACCCAAGAATCATCCAAGAGCCCAGGGGCCCATGATTACAAACATAACTTACTGCATATATAGATATAGATATAGACGATATAGATATGGATATGGATATAATGTAGATATAGCTTAGATATAGCTTGGATATAAAATATAACATAATGTAACTATATACATATCATATACTATATATATATACATATATGTGATAAAGGGACCCCACGCTTTTGGAGCCAAGCCACTCATTCCCCTGAAAGCCATCCACTGTGGCCACAGTGACCTGTGGACTGCGCAGGCACCCCGCTGCTATCTCCAACAGGCGCTCGAAGAGATCCACTTGAGCACGGTACCTTGCCAAATCCAAAGGCTAAGAGATCTGCCAAGCAGTTGGGGAATTGAAGGTGCGGAGACTCCAACCAGATCCAAAACGATCCAAAGCAAAAAATCCGCTACCGATGCACTCCTCTGCCCATGAAAAACTGGCCCACCCTTCGACACAATATATTGCGCGTTCTCAACACACTCAATCCCGAGCGGTCCCAGCGCCCTTGGACTTCCACAGTCCCATCTCCCGGCTCAAGTCACGGGGTTATGATGCCCACAGTCATGCCCTCGGGCGGGCGACAGATCTCAAAGAAATCCTGCAGCAGTCGTAGGGTGAATTTTGCCTCCCCTTCGTTCTCGAAAGAGAAGCGCACCTGCCATGGGTCCAGGGGTCAAGGATGGTCAGCTTAGTGGTTCCTTGAGGTGCTGTTGATGGGCACTTACCGGCAAGATCAATAGGGTCAAGAAGAATACCCAATCAAACGACTAGGTGACACCACCGCATGAGAACAGCACATCTTTCCACGCAGGGAAACACATAGCAAACACCTTTCTACCCCTTTCTACCCTTTGCGAGCTGCCTGCTTTTCGACCCAATCCTTTTGTTTGCTCGTGTCAAACCTCACTCTTGCAAACTTGATGGAAGGCCCATCCACACAGCTCAATGCTTTAATGATATCCCAAAGTACACCTGCAACAAGCTACGCTACACAAGGAGCTTGAATCAGCATCATTCCATCATTCCAATTTTTTCAACCAACTGCCAGGGTTTCAACCTTCGCCGCAGAAAGAATTCTGTCCGAGGCACAGCCGGAAGGGTCCAAAACGGTGCTGCTCCTGCGGATGTCGCGCTCGCACCGCCGACTCCTCGCTGCAGTCTGGGCGCTGCAAGACACACTCCGCGGTGCGGATCTTCTGTTCCTGGCCAGAGGGCCACAGGCGGCAGGCTGAAGTTAGAAAAAAAATGTTCTGAAATGTGGCAGGAATTAGATGATTATGATTCATATAATTTGATGTAATTTGATGTAATTCTGGGAAAACTGGTTGACGAATGTTGACAAAAAAAACGGAATGGCATTCGTCGCCAAAGAAAAAGCTGCAGACTTCAACCTCTGCCTATGCCTATGTCAGCCAAAAATGTCATTTATGTTTGCGTAGCCAAGAGGCATAGAAGCTTTCGTTGGACCAGCTCAGTATGGGTTCCTCCATGCGGTACTGGAGGTCCAAGAGGTTTTTCTCCATCTCAAGCAGTTCAAGCCGTTCAAACCTCACTGGCAAGGCATCCTCCAAACCTCTGCAGTTGGGAGGCCTGGAAGTCCATCAACCACAGAGATACAAATGTGCATTCGCACACATACATCACATTCATCTCACTGTCCCGCTGTGCTATCACTATGAATACATATGCATATATAACTATATATGTCTGTGTATAATCATATGCATATTCATAATATATATATAGATGTGTGTGTGTGTATGTACATATGTATATATATATATATATACATAATATATTATAATATACATACATACGTTACATGTGTGCGCGCGTCGTATTTATACCTATATTGTAGAACTTCTGTCGTGCCCAGACACCAAGACATCATAAGACACCCACATCCTTCAGACTCCTTCACATCCTTCATACCTCGTTCATCCTTCGTTCCTTCAACGCCAAGGAGCATCGATCTGCCATAGCCCGCCTTCTTGGCGTTGGGCGACGCAATGGTGGCTGGCAACTGCCGCGGATCCCCCACTAGGAACCTGTGCGCCGCACCGCATGAGGCTTGTCCAACAAACCCAACAACCGCAAAAAAAATGTGATTTGACCAGCAAAGTTTGGATTTCACTGACTGATGATTCTATATATGTTCGATGGATTGAGACCTTCAATGGTTTCTTTAAAGGGAGGGGTTGTCCCCACATGTAGGTGTTTCCTCTCAATTTTACTTTCAACCAATTCTTGGAATCCTAGAGCACTGAAGTTGACTGAAGCCCTCAACCATTGGCAGTCTGTTGTTTTTTCTCATGAGGCCGACATCAATGTATACAGTATTCATTCGGATGCAATCACCAAAAAAAAACACTCCAAGCAGATCAATTTCATTGAAGTTTGGTTCCAAGTTGCCACATTACAAAAGTAAATGATGCCACGATGTCATCCATATTCTCTCGGATTTTGCGTGTATTTTGATATATATATATACACATACATACAAACATACATACATTACATTACATTACATTACATTGTATTACATTACATTACATTACATTACATTACATACATACATACATGTCCGTGCGTGTGTCCGTGTGATATTTAATACCATGTTAGAACAACTGAATATGTGTGTAACCATCACCAGCCCAACCGTCGCGACCAAAGTGACATGCGTTGCACCGTGGTGCACAGGGCCGGAAGGGTCTCTGCCTCACAGGCTTGGCAGGCTTCATCCACCAGCAGCGTGGGGAATTGCCTGGGCTGCATGCACCGCATGGATGGATGGATGGATGGATGGATGGATGGATGGATGGATGGATGGATGCATGAAATTGATATCTATATATATGTGTGTGTGTGTGCGAGTTCGTTCTTCTTTGCATTCGCTTCAATTGTCTCTATTTATGCGTGCGCGTACGCGGTCAAGAGCAAGAGCTTCAAAAAACGAGCGACCTATCCGATCCAATCAACGAACTTCCTTCCCCACTTGCAAACTAACCAATCTACTAAACAACTGAAAACAAGTGCCTAAGCTTTTGATATTAAGTTTAAATCACCTGCCAGATCCTAAAAGAAATACGTCTTGCCGTCCAGCAGCTGTGCCGAAATTGTTTGCCGCCCTGCCACAGTCAGTGTGCAAAAAACAACTGCGCAGCGTCGGAGCAACATACCTCAGGCGCGGCCATCATGCATAAAAGCAGAAATCTGTGTTTAAACAACAATAACGATCATGACAACAACACGGACTGTGATGATAACAACTATCAATACTAATACAGAGAGTAATCTTGAGGACCGCCATTCCGCAGAAAAGAATCCGACCTATCCTGTTTCTGGCCGTGGCTGAATACATGACAAATCCACATGTGAAGACCCAACTGACCCAACCTTGGCACCATCCAAATCTGCAATGGCAGCCGAGCCGCTCTTCATGTACGTTGATGTCGCTGTCCTCACTTTGCCACTGGCCCTGCGCAGCTCGGCATGGTCTTCCAACACTTTCTCCAAGAGATCCGAGGTCTCCTGAGTCAACAGCGCCTTCAACATGGCATGCGGAGTCACCACGTTGACCACGTTGCCTGCTGGCGCCTCTCTGCGAGGCGCCCCTGGACGAAAGGACCCATCCAACGGTGGCAGCTCCAGGTATTTCCGGATGGCGTCAATGGCTTGGCCCAAGTTTTGAAAAGCGCCAGTGGCCACCTCCTTCAGATCCTCAGGAGGAGCTGCTGTGCCCCGCAGTCACTGTTTAGTGACTAGGACCCGATACTGTCCCTCTAGATGTCCTATGCTTCCAGCACACACGAGTGATTGCCCCGTCTTATCATCACAACCTTGAATGGTTGATCGGTTGATCAGATTTTCTGGGTGAGATCAACATGATCAACTACCAAAAAGGACCTCGTCAGCTTCGAGATTCCTCTGGGGCCTTGTCAGGGTGCAAAAGCATACTGAGCCTCTTCCTTGCCGCATCCATTTTCTCAGGATCCTTGGCTTCATCTTTTGAGAGCTTCAAAATGTTGGCTAGCTCCTGGCACGGCAAGCCCTATGAAGTTTCACGCAGAACAGAAAATCCCGGGAAAATTTTGATGGAGTATGGTTGGCATGGAAGGGAGAAGTGGGAATTCACTAAAGAAGCACCAACATGGACGAATGCTTGAGAACTTCATGGACTTCAAACTACTTGGCTGAATTCTGTCAGAATTCCAACTGGAATGCCAACCTTTCTGTTCCACGTGTTTTTATGCAAACTTCTCTTTCCTTTTTCCACTCTCGGCAGTTTTCAGCCACCCTCCAGGCCTCCAAGCATGCACTGTCTTCGGTCCAGCTCACACATCTGTAGGCTCGTTTGCGCTCAGCCTCTGTGAACAGGAACTGATTTTGAGCTGGAGCCGCTTCCGAAACTGCGCTCGCTGCGCTTGGAGTGGCTTCCACCTCTGAGGGTGGCTCCACCTTGAAGTTCTGGAGCTCATCTTCCTTGAAAGCAAAGTCCTCAAGAAGTGTTTGGAGGGAGTTGCTCAAAGCCTCCAGCGCTGCCCGAAAGTCGCACAGCTGCTGGCAAATCAAAGCCTCCACTTCTAGGCGGTTTTGATCTTTTTTGGTTCTGATGACAGGAGGAAAATCCTCAGTGTCAAGAGCCACTTCTTCTGAAAGGCGTGCCTTTTGGTTTATCAGCTTTCCAC